GTAGAGAATATGAATACTGTTGTTTTTGAACGGTCTTTCGTTCATTAAAATTAAAAGAAAAATTTAATTAGAAGCTTAATTGACAATCAGCTCACGAACAAGTTCAACTTTTCATAAACCTCGTACAGTTCTCTTCATGTTACATCAAACGTTTTTTAAAAATAGCCCATCTAGTGTTCACCATTTCCCAGTGAATAATCAAGAGTCGGGATTATATCTCAATACAGTTGGTTGTTCCGGATTCACCACTCCAGGTTCCTCATTCGGTGATCAATCTACTTTTTCTATTCCACAAGAGGCCAAAGAACGGTTATTATTCAAAAAAGTTATTGAACGATGTACTTCATTGATGAGAGTTCATGGGTCTTCTCGCTTTCTAAAAGTAGCTTGTGAATTGTTCAAGGACGATGAAGAAATTCGAACACACTGGCAAGAAACATTTGAATTTTACAAAAATTTCCGATCGTGCGACGACGATGAGCGTATAATATCCGAGCTGGTCGAATGTCTCAATGCACTTGTGAGCGATGAAAAAGAGGTAATGATCGGACTGGATTCACCTTCTTCGTTGAAAAATGTTCTCATAACCTGTATGCGAATAGTCACCGAACCAGATTTTACGCTGGAAATTGTGATTGTGCTCGGAGGAACCAACGTTCCACTCAATTTGCGTACTCCAGCCTATGCAGTTGCGGGCATTGCTCGGTTACAGCGGGTACTGGCATTACGCAAACAATTTTCGGGTCTGCCTGTCCTAGGTACTATAAGAAGTCTTCGTTTTTTACTTGTATTGCCACATTTTATTCACGTAAAGGATAAATGGTTAACATTAACGTTGTTTCATTACAGGGACCGTACCAACAACGATGCTGCGTCGGGCTCCTATCCTCACTTTTTTCAGTGCTTGGGGAGCTGCAGTTCAAGTGAATAATCTAGATAAGACCATCGGAGAACAACATGCACGCGACATCCTGTCATACATCGCGAAGTATGTGAACTATTATTACCCAAGCCTGAAGCAGTACATTCGATATCAAATCGATCATGCAAATACTTATGAACCACAATTGTTGGCTCATATCGCTCATCTGTTTGTCTCGACCTGTCAACATATGCCGCTTATGCAAGATTTGGTTAACCAAGCAGTACGTCACGGCAGCAGTAAAGAAGGTTGCGTTCAATACGTATCCATGCATTTGATTATGTTCAAAGACATCGTCGATACGAATTGCCCCCATTCGTTGTTCCATACATTAAACAGAAACGGGAGGAGTGACGAACTCGACGCATCAATGCTCTCGCCTGATTGTGTCATCAGTATCGGTGGACCGGTCGAGAAACGATTTGGTGAAGCGCGTCATTTTGTTCGACAAGCGTTCAATGAGCCGTCCACGCCCACCAACAACCAAGCCTTTTATCATTGTCCCTTATCGGTACGCTTGTTATCACGAGCTGGACAGACTCCAGTATACTACCGTCATGAAACACATGAAATCACTGTCGATGAAGTGTTGAAAGGCGATGTGGTCGACTTGAATCAAGCGGACATGGCGACCACGACAGTCAGTGATGATCTAGGTATCCTAAAGCAAGATATTGGCATGAGCATCTTGAAGCCATTTTGGGAAAACATTCCTGATCTCCAGCCATCCGACATGTCTTCGTGGAAAAGCCTAGTGAAAACCTTGACCGAACGATGTTTGGTAACTTGGCGAACTCATGCAAAAGACGGAAATCGACCCTGTGGATGTCCGACACAGAACACCTCAGCGATTGATCAAATTCTCATACATTGGTCAGTCCAAAATGATTTTAATGATGATGGACGTTTGATTCTTCAGCAAATCGTGGTTGCCCTCGAAGTCAACAACGGCTGTCAGTTTGGACAACCTCCCCCTCCTTCTACGCGCATCATACATGCATCGAAAGAAACAGAAAAGGACATTATGAATAAACTCGATAAAGTGCTCAATCAGATACTCATTACTTTTGTTCGAACAGTGTTCGCTTAGCGACAACAATTAATAATCGTCAGCGTAGAAGATAGTGTCTGCTAATCACGAATATCACCGTCCCAGCTCGAAAAAGTGAGATTTTGATGGAGAAAAATGCGAAGTATTGAGAATAGGTCGAAAAAGCCAAAAATCCTTCTTTTTCAAAAAAAGACGTACAATTTTTTCCGCTTATGTTTTTACTTCNACGAAACTCGCCTGGCTCGCCGATTGACACCTTCAGCTTGCAAACCTATCACAGATTTTGGGTTAAGGGATAGGTCCTCCGTTTTTCTACCATTAGATAGTCCAAACGATAAGCTTTAAAAGTATGGAGAGTTTTTTCCAAAAATGTTTGTTCTTCACCGGAAGAAACGCGTTTTGTCATAGAAGAAGGAAAAACGGCCAGACCGTTTTTTCTAACTTTTTCATTATTGGCTGGAAAACGATAAAACTTAATCCCTCTAGGCTTCTGGACATCAGGAATTCAATGGACGAGCTTACGCACAAGCCAGAGGATTTCTAGAGGGGTTTTGGAAGGTTTTGAAAATTATCCCCCTTAAACCCTTTCAAAACATTTTTTTCTTTTTTGATTGCTCTTAAATGATCTTTATTTTTGATGTAAATCAGTGGGCAAACGTTTACTCTGTCTGTATGTGGAATAATACACAGGATACAGTGTATCTAAATGATGGTCAATGGTATGAAATTTATTAATATCAAATGATCTTGTCGATTGTATTTTCTCGTCCGCGAAACAATGTTTCAGTTCTTCAGATGTGAATATATGGAAAACCAATTCGTGTCGCCTTTTAAAATATCAGTATAGAATTTTTTTTAATTCAATTTCTGCGCTTTTTGCTGGCTCGATACTTCAACGAAGACTTGCCACTACTCGATCACATTATGGAAAAGAATAATAAGTCCTATGACGACTTGCGACTTGCACGTACTGTCTCGAATTAC